AAAAAAAAAAAAAAAAATTGTGCTCCCTTTGGCAGCATATATATTAAAATTGGAATGATACAGAGAAGATTAGCATGGCCCCTGTGCAAGGATGACATGCAAATTCATGAAGCATTCCATATTAAAAAAAAATTTATTAAATCCTTATTTTCTACAGTGCCAGCTAGGTAAAGCATAATGTTAAGATGTAGGTCCTGCCCTTAAGTAGCTTGGAGTCTAACAACGTCACCTTATATTTATGTAGTTTGCTATAGTTATAAAGCTTTTTTGATGATATCTCATTTGAGGCTTACAGGGTAGCCTGGCAGTTGGAGTTTCAGCCAGTTGCAGGTAGAACTTGGATTTTAGGCAAACTAAGGCTGGAGAAAGAGCCAGGCACAAGTTTTCACATTAGAGGTTACTGAGGAGGAGTTCTTTTTGGGAAGGCCATGCCAGAAAGAGAATGCTAAACTAGATGGTAGAAGGTCCATCTTAGGCTGCTGTTTGCATTTTATTCTAAAGATGACAGTGGGAATTCAGGGAAAGTTTCAGCATGGGAAAATAACTGGATCAGAGTCATGATTTAGGAGATGTGACCTGATGGCCAAATGGAGGCAGAGAAAACCATCAGGAAAGTATGAAAGGCATCCAAGTAGCCAATTGCTACTTGAAAATAGATGGTACAATAGCACCACAGGAATACTATCAGCAAAACACTGACCTGGGAAAATCTATAGCAGTGTTTTTCAACCTTTTTATCTCAGGGCACATTTGAACATATTATAGTCAAACTTCTATAGCACATTGAAATTATGTTGATCAAAAAAAAGTAAAATAGGACATACTATGCTTTGAATTTCTTTCAAAAATAATTTAATTATAATCATTAAAAATTTTCTGGCTTGGCGCCTGTGGGTCAAGTGGCTAAGGTGCCAGCCACATACACCTAAGGTGGTGGGTTCGAATCCAGTCCAGGCCCGCCAAGCAACAATGATGGCTGCAACCAAAAAATAGCCAGGCATTGTGGCAGGTGCCCGTGGTCCCAGC